CCCCACCAAAAAAACAAAAACAAACAAACAAACATTTCTCCAAACATAACATGCGAATTTAGTAAGTGATAAAGTTGGAATTTCAAACCAAAGGGTGTAAAAACGGACTTAAATGAAGATGTTTTGGAAGTCTTAGGAGCGGCCAGCACTGAGAGGCGTTGAGCAAAGAAGCTAAAGCTGAATTGCTGTTCTTTTTCTCACTGGTTTCAGGAGTAGAGCTGAATTAGCGCATCAGGACAAGACGTTCCCGTCCATTTACGCGCCTGCTGCCATGCTGCCACCCTGCCACCACCCAGGCTGATTTTGTGACTCTGTGTAGCTGAGTCATTCTGATTTAGTACCGTGGTTTAAAAAATACTGTCTATGAGTACTTACTCTGTGCCGGGGCATATGGGTCTATTTATCTCACTGAATCCCAGCCCCTCATAAGATAGATCTTATCGCCATTTTATCGCTGTGCATCTGTTTATCAAATGGAATCAACACCAGTCTGATGGGGCTTTTGAGAACCTTATCAGATATTGGAAGAAGTCATGACAAAGACAGACACTTAATAAATTATGTTGAGACAACTAAGTACCCAAATGGAAACAGATGAGGTTAAATCCACACACCTCACATTCTACGCCAGGGTACGGTCCAGGAAATGGAAAGGGAAACCGTGAAATTATAAGAAAGCTTGATGAATTCCTTAATGATCCTGGAGCGGAGAAGGCCTTTCTACTATGTGTCAAATTCGAGAGACCAAAAAAATAAAAGATTGATGAATTTGACTGTGTAAAAATAAATACATATGCCTGTAAAAAAATCATAAGCAAAGTCAAAAGATAAAAGACAAGCTGAGGGTATGGCCCGGTGGTGCAGCGGTTAACTTCTCGCGTTCCTCTTGGGCGGCCCGGGGTTCACCTGTTCGGATCCCGGTGCGGACCTACACACCGCTCGTCAGGCCATGCTGTGTCAGGCATCCCACATATAAGGTAAAGGAAGATGGGCACAGATGTTAGCTCAGGGCCAGTCTTCCTCAGAAAAAAGAAAAAGAGGAGGATTGGTAGCAGATGTTAGCTCAGGGCTAATCTTCCTCAAAAAAAAAAAGACAAGCTAAAAAAAAAGGTAACGTATCACAAGGATTAATCTTCTTAATATATAACATATATATATTAGGTCCTAAAAATCAAGAAGAAAAAGAATAACCCAATAAAAATGGGTAAAGACATTAGTCCTCCGCCTTCAGATGCCAATCTCGAGGAGGCGGTCCCTGGTTCCCCACAACTTTTATCCGACTTGGCTACAAATCGGAGGTCCCCACTACCCCCTCCCCAGGTTCGATTAATTTGCTGGAACAGCTCACAGAACTCAGGGGAACGCTGACTTATGTTGAACAGTTTAGTAAAGGAAGTGATAAAGGGTGCAGGTGAGCAGCCAGACGAAGAGACACACAGGGCGAGGTCTGGGAGGGTCCCGAGTGCAGGAGCTTCTGTCCCCATGGAGCTGGGGTGTGTCACCTCCCGGTGCACGGACGTGTTCACCAGCCCGGAGGCTCCCCGAACCCCGTGCTGTCGGGATTTCATGGAGGCCTCCTCACGTGGGCACGATCACTCGTTACCTCTGTTTCCTGCCCCCTCTCCCCTCTGGAGAAGGTGGGGGCAGGGCCGAAAGTTCCAAGCTTCTTATCACAGCTTGTTCTTTCTGGAGACCAGCCCCCATTCGGGAGCCCACGGAGGGCCACTTAAATAGAACGAAAGATGCTCCTTATCACTTAGGAATTTACAAGGGTTTCAGGAGCCCCATGTTAGGAACCGGAGGCAGAGACCAATATATATTTTCTATTATCTCACGTCCATCAAATTGGCAAAAATCCAAGTGTGACAATACACTCAACGGGGTACAGTGGGAAACAGGCATTGCTGGTGGAAGGATGAAAGGCAGCCATCAAAATGACAACGCCTTCGCCCTCGATCGGCTGGATCAGAGCACCAGCAGCTCAGAGATGTGTGGCCACAGGGAGTGGGGGAAAGAACTGGGGGAGACAGGTCCCAGAAGACAGGGACTCTCTGTGTGGACCGGGCTCTATAATGAATGTGTTAAGTACTCAGAAAAATTAAATGGACTCTAGTTAACCCCTCCTATCATTTGAGAACCCTCCTGGGCACGAAGTGATTTTTCTCATCTGAACTTTATATGCAGTCAGACCTCCTAACTAAATAAAACCAGGTGAATTTGAGGTTCTTTATAATTAATAATAAATCAGGCAGGCCCTTTCCTCGGAGGCTGGACCGCTGTGGCGCTGGCAGAGGATGTACGGTAACCATGGCAACTGCTGCAAGCCGGCCTTTCTTGGGCAGCTGTCCCTCATGCTGGAGGGTCCTGGGCCCACAGAGGGCCCTCAACTCCCAAATACCTCTCCAGCCAGTTTGCTCAGGCCTCACTTCCACCACTGGAGGCTGGGCCTGGGGCTTTGGGCTCTTAAAGCTCCTCACACACTCCGGTGGTTCAGGTCAGGGGATGGTGGCACTCCTGAGAACACAGGTGCTGGGATGTCGACGCATGTTCCAGGCATCCCCACGCCGCCCTACCCACAGCCTCCACCACAGACACTGGAAGGCCAAGTGTGCACATTCCCAGCCCCCCCTCAGGCCTGGGCTGGCTGTGGACACCGTGCTGGTCAACGATGTGCTGGTGGTCATCTCCCAGGCCAGATGCTGCCCCTCACCTTGTTAAGCTGCTGAGCCAGGTGGGCACGGACCTGGCTCTCAATTCTCATCATGAGAGAATGCTCTCCACTCCATGTGCAGGCCACTGTTAGCAGGGTCCCCTGTTACTTGCCCACGAGTCACAGATTGCAGGCTGTGGGCCTGGCCGAGAGACGAGGGACATCCTGCGCACCCAGGCAGAGGGCTCTGCTATGGGATGACCAAGTACTCGGACAAAGTGACACCCACTGGGTTTGGGGTGCAGAGCATGGGCCCTGAGGTCTTGGCTGTGCTGGTCACAGCAAAGTCCTGCAAGAGAAGCCTAGATTCGGACTCGAGGGGGCCGCTCTGAAAGCAGAGAAGCACCAGGAGACGGCTCCTCCCTGAGCAGTGCTCTCAGCCTGGGATCAATAGCCACTCAGTGTCCTCCGATCTGGTGCCCTGCAAGGATGCAAGAGCGAGATCCTGCAGCCTGAGCTGAGGCCGGTACACCCTGGGAGCCAGCTGGAGAGCAGACAACGAGGAGCATCTGTGGGGGTTGCTGATGCTCCTCGGTGCACTTGAGTGGGAAATGGGCCAGACAGGAGCCTCAGCCCTCACAGCCGCAGGACCGTCCTAATGCCCAAGGACACGTGCAGGTCCTGCAGCCTCGTTGGCAGAAACGTCACAGAACAAGTGAAACCTCTGACAAAACTCAGGGGGGGTGGCATTGGCCCCTAGGAGACGAAGGGAAGGTGGGTGGGAGACTGAAGCCCATGCAGGTCCTCAGGCCCCAGGGCCCTGCCGGAGAGACCTCGGGTTGGCTCCTCCTGACATGGCCGAGGAACTGGCAGGAGCCGCGGTCAGGCATTTTTAAGTGGCCGTTAGTCCAGGCCTAAATGGGCTGTGTGGCCACAGTGGCTCCAGCTGGGTGGCAGGAAGGCCCTGGACAGAAAGGCTGCAGGACGTGGTCTCACCTTCCCCATGATGGCCTCCAGGCAGGATCCCAGCGTGCGCACCAAGAACAGGCCACTGGGTTTATCCTCTGATATATCGTGTCCCCAGGTTACTTCTCGATCCGTGCTGGAAGAATTAGAGCCAGTGGAACAGTGAGAGGAGAGCAGGGCCGGGGACGTGACTGAGTCTCTGAAGGAATTTCACCTCAGCTCCTGAAGTAACCCATCTCGCTCCCTATAAATTTCTTAATTCTTTCTTTTTTTTTTTTTAAAGATTGGCACCTGAGCTAAAAACTGTTGCCAATCTTTTTTTTTTGATTCTTCTCCCCAAAGCCCACCACTACATAGTTGTTTATTCTAGTCGTGAGTGCCTCCGGTTGTGTTATGTGGGATGCCACCTCAGCATGGCTTGATGAGTGGTCCCATGTCCACGCCCAGGATCCAAACCGGTGAAACCCTGGGCTGCCAAAGTGGACTGTGTGAACTTAACTACTAGGCCATGGGGCTGGGCCCTAAATTTCTTAATTCTGCTTTTTATTTTTATTTTTTTTTGGTGAGGAAGAGTGGCCCTGAGCTAACATCTGTTGCCAATCTTCCTCTATTTTATATGTGGGACACCTCCACAGCATGGTTTGATGAGTGATGTGTAGGTCCACACCTGGGATCTGAATTGGTGAGCCCTCGGCAGCTGAAGCAGAGCATGCAAACTTAACCACCATGCCACTGGGCTGTCCCCATTGATTTTGCATTTTTAAAGTAAATGAAACCACCTCTTGCTTACTCTTGGGGTCCTCAAGTTGCCCTTATTTGAACAGAGTTTTAATCAGATGTTTCTGTGATTTAAATGCACTGGTTTCGGCTGGTTAGTGGCTTCAGGCAGGGCCCTGACAGTTGTGCTCCCCGCTGCTTTCCCAGAACCTGTCCCTGGAGACTCGGTCAAGGGTCTGACCCAACCCGGCCATTGCAATATGCCGCGCGGTCCTGGGGCCCTTTGGCTTGGTCCCCTGGGAAAACATCACATCCCCCCAAATCGTGCACCTACGTGTCTTCGTGTGCACGTGCAGGTGCACGGGTGGACGTATGTACATGTGTCTCGACGTGCATGTGCACATGTGTGCATGTGCTGGTACATGTGTGCATGCGCTGGTGCATGCGTGTTCTGAATTCAGGATATATTTTTAAAAATAAATCACAGCTAGATGTGGAACTTTCCAGAGTTCCTGTCCGAGATGGGCTTTTCCGGTTCTCAGGAGGCCTGAGCCGGGCATGGCTGGGGGCCCATCCCCGCTGCCGCTGGTACCACCGGAAGAAGATGGTCCGGGGGCAGAAAGGCGCATCGTCAGAGGCTGTTCCCAGAGCATAAATGACACCACGGTTCTTTTAGCTCAATTTATTTTCAGAAGACAGACAAATGAGACCCTGGAATACCTCTTGGTTCGAACAAGAGTTCTTTTCTTTATAAAGAAGAAAAAGGGTTCCTTGGTTTTCTCCACAGAATAACTTTTTTTTTTTTTACAAAAAATAGTTTTTGATATATACATGCCTACTTTGGAAACCCTTTTGTCCTTGATGGCTTTAAGACCCATTTTTAGGCACATCCTTTATGCACCAACTGATTTGTCCCTTGCTTTGGCCAGGTGATGGCTCTCCTTCTAGATTTCCCCTTCTGAAAGCCACTTAAGTGAAATGGAGAGCGCGCTCACGGGCAGGACGGCCTCAGGGAGCACAGGCCCCACGCCGGCGGGTCTGTGCAGGCGGAAGACCCCGCAGACACCGAGTGCACGCAGGTCTTTTCTTCCCCTGGGAAAAATCTGCGCGGACTAGAAACAAAGGGACGAAAGGAGGCAGACAATCATTTTCTCGTATATTGTGGACATTTTATCCCTCTCTTTCACAGCAGCAATTTTAATAACAAGTATGATGCCTGCAGCATTTTATCCAGAAAACACCGGCACTCAGGCACGCTCACGCAGGCCCATGTATGAGGTGATCTTTGCAGAGCATGGCAAACACAGCCAGTTTTTGGGACACAGGCTTTTAAAGTCCAAGTTAGTCCCCCCACCCTTACCCTCCACCAACTCCCAGAGACCAAAAATACCGCTATCCTCAACTACATAAAGCCCGAGAGTAGCAAAACTTGTAAAAATGAAGTGTACAAAACGACCCCTCCATATAATACATTCGCACCCTGTGTACAAATTATCACCCTTTGAAACTGGCCAGTGGTCAGGTATGGCAGAGTATCAATAATAGAAAAAGAACCCCAACGTCCGTCACACGCGCTTAAGCAATGGTTTGTGTGGTTTTCCAAAGAGAGAGATTCTCATTTACAGTTACAGTACTTACTGACAATCTTTATGATTAAGAAGCCCGTTGGATTTCCTGGCGTTTAGGCAAGGAACATTTGATTGTCACAACATACAATTCTGAGACAATAAATACAAGTAGATCAGATGCATTTCTTCATTGTATCAAGTAACTCCAGTTTAATAAAATTTAGTGCATTTCAGTATCATTCACAGTTCGACTTCTGTCCAAATACTTTTTCAACAAAAAGTTAAGAAACTGAGAAGTTTGTAGGAAAAGAAAACTCTGGGTGAGCTTGTCATTACAAAGTGTAAAGCAATTCAGCTGTCTTTGAGAATACGTGCTGCTGCCGGGGCGCGGGGGGCTGACTCTGTCAACCTCTCGGGAAATCTCCTAGGCTCCCGAAAAGGGTTCTTGTCCTTTATTTCCTGAGTGGGTTATGAGAATGCCACCGTTTCCACTGAATTAGCTAGCGGCAAATACTTGTGGGAAAACTGAATTCATATGTGTCCACCCCTCAATCGAGCAAAACTCAGCGAGACATCTTCGACCCAAAAACCATCCCTGTGTTTTTGCGTCCTGGCCCTGATATGCAAGAACGTGGGACCCGAATGTCTGCATGCACCCTGGCGGCCCCACGCAGGGTTTGGGACAAAGCCAGGGCGAGTTAGTGGTGTGGCTGGCCCCACAGCCCAGGCCCAGATGCTAGGAGAGGCTAGAGAAAGGGGCAGAAACATGGGCCAGAGCCATGCTGTCTCCAGAGGGAAGGCAGGTGGTCATGTCAGGCCCACCATTTTAACCCTAAGCCTGGTTACACTGCTGCAGGGTTAGAAGCCACACCACACCATTTAATGCTAAGTGTTGCATGCCGGGGAAGCATGCAGCTGTTAGTGAGAAATTCGCAGCATGAGTTTACGCACAGGATTGAACAATTCTGCTGAAAATCAGGCGGGCTGAGCAGAGTCTATTGGGCTTGTCCTACAGGTGAGACAAAGTGACATGCAGGGCGTCCCTGATTCCTCACGCCCAGTGGGATACCAGTCGGTGGTCGCACGGCGTGGAAGGCCTAGGCTCCGGAGTTGCCCGTGACTGCAGGCACCCTCAGCTCCCGTGCTCACTGACTAAAGGTCTGTAAGGGAAGGCTCTCACGCCACAGAGCAGGAGGAACAGGGACAACAAGACAGGGCTTCCAAACTGACCCAGGATCATGGCTGTTTTATACAAGAAAGTGCTGTTCACACTGTTGTTTCATTGAGTAGTTTGTCTACTCAGAGCTCATCTCTTCCACCAGACTCTGCGCTTCTTGAGGACAGAGACCATAATCGGGCCATGCAGCTGGCACGCCGTCACCAAGCACCGGGTGACCAGGGTCACTTCTTTCTCTGGGTTAAAACTCTTATCAACGGGTAGCCATTTCAAACCCTCCTCCAGGCTTCAGCATGGAGAGAAGGCGGGCGCACAGAAAGAGAGCCTTCACACATCTATGACTCGCTTTCCCATGACCAGCTAAGGCTTTCCCCAGCGTCTGCTCACGTGCACGCAGTGTGGATAGTCACTGCTTACAGTGCCATCAGGAAGACCCCAAAGAGGGAAGACAGTCTCTAGGTGCTGGTAGCTGCCACAGGCCACAGGACCCCAGAAGCCAGAGGGGGACAGATCTGCGGCCCTCTCCCCAGCTGGACGCATAGGGAGCGTCCACAACTCAAACTCCACTCGCTGGGCAGGGCCAGGATACACGCGTGGAAGATGTCTTGACTCGGCGCCTGGCACCTGAGAGCAGGGCCTGGGCCTGTGCTGAGAAACATGCCGGCCAGCTGCGCCCAGGCTCTGCGCTCAGCCCGCTGCACCCTCACAGGAAGGGCCCAGGGCCCTCTCTCTGTGCCTCCAGCCAAGGTGGGGTGGCTCTGGAGGCGCGAAGCAAGCAACAGAGCAGGCCCCAGCAGAGGGGGTCAGCAAACACGTCCCCTCCTGGCAGGACCCAGGACCCGGTGTGGAGGGCACCGCGACTCGGGCCTAAAGCGCACTGCCCCCAACGGTGACCAGCCTGACTGTCCCAGCACTCAGCCTGACATGACAACATCAGCAACGAATGAAGGTCGGTGGTAGGTGTAAAGGAAAAGGAAAAAAAAAAAAGCACTATTCTGTGATTTATTAATTTAATTTAAAAAATTAAAGGAGCTCCCCTCCCCCTTTCCACTTCTCTCCTGAAGTGGATCAAAAGCAAAATCCACCTCTCCCTAAAAAAAAACCCCAAACATTCATAGTGTAGTTTTTATTGCTCTCAAAGGGCTGGGTATTCAAATGCATGGGGTCACTGGGTTAAACGTGGAGGAGCAGCTGAGGTTACCCCAGGCCGTGGCCTCAGTCTCCATTGGCCGGGAGTCTCCACAGCGCCCTCACCGCCGCAATGCAGAGTTCACACATTACGTATTAATTTCAAGGGGAGGGAACGTATCTGGGAAACAAGGACTATTAATTAAATGGTAAATGATCTCAAGTTGCGTTTTCCAGGTAATGTATCTGCACGGTAGTACCCTTCGGCTTTTCTTTCCTAAGATTCTTTAGGTGTTAGTGAGTTAGCGAACGACAGGAGACAGACACAGAGGAGCAGCATTTACGGAAAGAAAGAGCAGACCTCAGGTCGTCGCTCACCGGCCCTCGCAGCGGAGGGGCACTGTCTGCTCGGCTCCGCCACGGGCGCTGGCGAAGGGAAGGAGGGGAGATGCCCTAAGATGGAGGGGAGCTCCCTTCTACCAGCATTCTAAAGCTGTTTCACCCCTTCAAGCACGCAAGGGGCTGTCCTCATCCACCATCACTCAGGAGCACGCAGAGCCGCGGTGCCTTCGCAGCCTGCGCCCTGTCTCCAGCAGCGTCACCGAGCACAGCCCAGCACAGGGTCGCGGTCAGAGAGCAGACGCTGCCTCGAGGAAGCTTCCCAAAATACATACTTAGGGCCAATGCATCATCATTTTCCCAATTTAGTTTTTAATTTTTTCCATGCCTCTTTCCTCTATTTTTTTTTCTAGAAAATTCAGCCTGCCTCCGTTCAGAATGCTGGTTACAGTGTATCAGAGAGAACACCCATTATTTTCCTTTCCCTTGCTAAAAAAACAGGAGGGGAGTGTCACTTTAAAAAAGCAAGTTGAAGGTTTAGGAGGAAAAGTCCAGTGCAGGTGGGGTTTCTGGTGGAATGACTAGCTGAGCCCAGGGAGAGCCGGGGTCTGCCCACTCCTCCAACCAGCCCCCGCGGCTTCCAGCCCCTGGCCCACCCCCCGAGCGGACACTGATACTCGCGCCTTCATGTGCGGAATAAACAGCTCCCTCTAGGGCTGGGAGCCAAAGGGAACGCTGTGAGGACAGAAGCCAAGCACAGGCTGGCAGGACGCTCTGGAGACAGCCCTGCGGCGGGAGGAGCCGAGGAGGAACCAGCACGCCCGCGGGCCCGGGGGGCGGGGGTTCACCATCTCTAGCTTTCCTCAGGAAGCTGAGAGCCATCAACAAATCAACTGTAGAAATAAAACCTCTAAAAGCCCGAGAGCTCTGTGTTAACAGTCTCCCACCACCTCTGGAGGACAGAGGTTTCACGGTGACACCGCTTTTTAAAAAGCATCCGAGAGTGCTGTGGGCTGCAGGGCAGAGGTCAGCACCGCGGGGCTCCTGGGCTGCGGGGCGGAGGGGCGGAGGGCCCGGGCCCCCCTAGGCCCGGCGGAGGGCCTGGGGTCTGAGGGCGGCAGGGAGAAGGGACAGCGCAGGTCCGGGTAAGGGAGGATTGTGCGTTTCACCGAGTCCTAGGGGCCGGTTCACTTTAAAACCACATTTCAGGTGTTCACACCCAGGGTTAGGCAGGAGACGGGCGAGATGCTCTGGGAAAGAAAGCGGGGCGTCTGCCTGCAGCCAGCCTGGCGCAGGACCACGACCCGACCCCGGGGACCCAGCCAACGCTCGGTGTGTGCTTATCACCAGGAGAACTCTCTCCGCGGCCAACCCACGTCTGGGAGCGAAGGTGCCGTGCCATGCCGAGCAGAGCAGCAAGCAGGCGCTTCGGGGCCGGACCCTGTCGCATCCGTTCCCGGGAGGACAGAGGAAGAGTCGCAAAGAGACAGTTCACAGGGGGTGCGGGGAAGAGGCGAGGGGCCGGGGTCAGTTCCTGAAGTAACTGATAAAAACGAAAGTGGGGTCTAAGTTTAAGAAGAGGAGGCATCGAGAGGCTCCCTCCGGCAGGCAGAGTTCTCGGGAGCCGTGGCCTGGGCGGGCGAGAGCCGGGTCCGGAGCCGACCTCGGAGCCCAGCTCCCCGGGCGCCTGGTGCCGGTGCGGCGCGGGTGGCGGCCCCGTCTGCAGGCCTTGCCGCTCCTCTACCCTCCACTCGAGTTTTATTGTTAATATTAGTCACCAGTTAATAAGAAAAATAGTTTCTAAGTGTCTTTTTTTTCCGCTCTGTGTGTTGTTCTGTTTTTAATTGAGTTAAGTGGATACCACCGTCCGGTCACGTGTGTTCAATCATGGCCATTAATCACTCCTTTTTCTTAAATTCTTGGTTTCCGTAGCTGGAGCCTTTTTCTATTTCAGTTACTCCTATTAGTCGTCGGACTCCAAAGGAAGCTTTAAGACAGGAAAAAGGGGAGGTTAGAGTGATGGCTTTGCTGGAAAAGTGGTTCAGGGGGGCTCCCGCCTCCTCCCCCTTCCCCGCGCCTGCCGATCAGCCTGTCCTGGGGGGCAGGTGTCCTCTGCAGCCCGTGGCCAGACCCGCTCTCAGGGGCCTGCAAGGCTCAGGTTGGATCCCAGCTCTCCACGGGCTGTCACCTGGACAGCTCCCAGCGTGACTGTGACAGTCTCCAGGCCGCCCCCATGGCCGGCACACGGAAGACCCGACCTTGGGCTGTGTAGTCACCCAAGTTCGTTACCTGCCCCAACAAACCCCAGGAACATCAGGATCAGGAGGGGAGATCCACTTGCAAAGACGCCCAAGACAAAACTGAAAAGAGGAGACAGCAGGATGGTGGCCCAGGCGAGGAAGTTCAGGAGCGTCCACGGCCTTCGGGTGGGCTTGAACTGCTCCCCTGGAAACACCCCCTTCTGGTTATACATCTCCTGCAATGCATCCTGAAAAAGTCGACAAGAAAAGTGGTCTCTTTACATGTTTTTTTTTTTTTTTTTTTTGCTAAGGAAGATTCACCCTAAGCTAACACCTGTGCCAATCTTTCTCTATTTTGTATGTGGGTCACCGCCACAGTATGGCTGATGAGTGGTGTAGGTCTGCACCCAGGCTCCGACGCCAGGCCACCAAAGCGGAGTGCATGAACTCAACCACCAGCCCACGGGGCTGGCCCCTATATGCTATTCTTTTAACACTAGAGAAAAGCGTTGACAGTGAAAAATGACTCCTGTTTACAAATGATTATAAACATGCCCCATAAATAAAGTAGACGGGTTACGCATGCTGTAGGTGGGGGGGAAGCTGGCATGAGCTTCGTGCCTTGGCTGCTTGTATCCAAAGCATGAAAAAATACAAACCCTTTGACTGGCAAGTTTCCTAAGAAAATAATCAGTCTGTACCTAGCACATGAGAGGCACCTCTGACCCCAGGACTGCCGGCGTTGGCCAGGCCCCTTGCAACCCCTGCTGGGTCTCAAAGGGGGGCTGGTGGCTGTGACCCGCCAGGAGTCTCGCGGCCTGGGCACAAGTCCTGGCACCTTCCATAGCTCCAGGTCACCCTCTCGGTCTCTGTTTCCTGGAGGCTGACGATGGGAGGAGAGGTGAGCGTGTGGAGACATCGGGGAGAGGACTCTGTCAGAGCCGGCACGACAGCAGGACTGGGAAGTGCTCCACACCGAGTGCGGCTGACGGTCGGCGAGGCCTGGTGCTCCGACCCCTCTGCGGCCGTCATACGTAACGCAGTGGTGTGTTAACAGGGAGACCCAGGATGCTTCAAGATTTGTGAAGGAAGACATTAAGAACCACATGATGCCACTGAGACACACAATGTGTGACCATCCGTCTGTAGAGACCAAGCTTGGAAAGATGCACAACAACAGGATCTTGGTGGCGATCCTGGGGGCGTGGAGTGTCATCTGCCTTTATTGTCTTCTATTTTATTTTCTGCACTCAATTTCCCACAGCTGTGTTTCATACTATATAAAAATGAGGGGGCGCTCAACAAACACCAGCCTCGCAGCCTCATCAGCCTGTGCAGAGGCACTAGTTGCCCTGCCCTTCGAGGGGCACAGGGCAGGCGATACGGGGCCTCGTGTGGTCAGGACCTGTGACCCCCACACTCCCGCATGCACCTCAGGGCGATGCCACATGCTCCCCACCCCACTTGGAAGGCCCTTCTCGGCACGACCCAGGAAAACTCCAGCCATTTTCAAGCTGTTTGCCCATCCCCGCTCTGACCACCCCGACCCTCCGAGAACAGGACCTGCGCCTGCCTGCGCCCAGAGCTGCACAGGTGGTGTGGGAAGCTGTCGCCCCTCCAGTGCAGGGCCCGGCTCAGCAGGCCTCTCAGCGTGTTGTGACAGCATCTCACGGTACACGACGGGCCCGCGACAACACCACGAAACGCGAAGGCAGGAGCTTTCCCCCGGGTGAGAGCACGACAGGCTTTGTTGCTCTTGATCAGATGAATCACACACACACGTGATCCTGACACAGAAGTGCTTGTCGAGCTCTCACCAGTACCCTCCTCGTTGCCCACACACCAGGCTCTCCCCCGTGGTGAGGCTCTCTATGGGGCGAACCCTCAGGCTGGGGTGCTGCTGCCCTCTGACCTTTCCTGACTTGTCAGCAATTCCACACACAACCAGACAAGCTGCCCTCATTGCGTGTCTCCCCACCTTCCTCCACCCTCCCAAGGCCCTGCTGGCCCTCCCGCCAGGCAGCCCACACTCCTCGGGCCAGGCAGCACAGCCGTGGCTGCTGGGCCTCCCGCGTCATCACATCCCCCTCCCTGCAGGTGTACCCTCTACTTCCCAGCTGCTTCTCCAGGAGCCCCAATGCCCCAATACTGAGTAATGCATTCTGAGTAATTTCCTCAAAACCTTCCAGTTTACTAATTCTCTCTTCAGCTGTATCTAATCTGCTATTTAATCTGTTAATTAAGATTTTACTGTCAATGACTAGATTCTTCATGCCTATAAATTCTACTCGGTTTTTCCAGTCCATCTCATTTTTTCATAGGTCTCAGTCTTTTGTTTGCAATTCCTTCTTTTGTGTTTAATCATTTCAAACATACTGATTTTAGTCTCCATCTGATAGGTCCATTTCAGCTGAGGTTTTTGAGGGTTTAATTTTTCTGTCTGTTATGTCTGTCATACCTTCCCATAACAGACTTCGGTGATGACCTCGTCTCCAGCAGAACTGTACCCAAGGAAACCCGGGCAGCTCAGGTTGGAGCTGTGTTCTTCTACTTCTGCACTTGCTTCTGTCAGGAACTCCAGAGAGATTCACCCAGAACCACTTTTTATGTTGACATTTTGGCTGTGTTCTTCTTGAATTATGTTGTTAGAGTAAATTCAAATCCTACACCTGTTTGAGGACAGGCCTGTGATTGTGAATTACCAGGGGAAACCTTTTTAAGACCAGGAGGAGAAAGGAGAGCTTCACAGTCATTTCCCTGTGCTGGCAGGAAAATTTTTTTCAGTTTAACCTTTCTGAGGACAAAATTCTCAGAGCTTCCCACCTTTATGTGAGGTTTTCAGCTCTAACTTCCTGCTTTGAATGAGGTCAAACCTTTATCTTCTTTCCCAGGTAGGCATTAAAACGAAAGACTTCAGGTTAAGGGGACCCTGTTTGCAGTGTGTGGCAGTATCAGCTCACAGGCTACCACCTGGCTTCCAGTTCCGTTTCTTTTTCTGATCGTAGAAATTTCCCGTATTTTCTTGAGAGCTCGCCAATGCACTTAAAAAGATATTTGTTATATACTGGGAGGATTTTCTGATTATTTAAGCTCCTACAATGCTGAAAATGAAAACCTAATGTCCCGCGGGTTTGTGTATACAAAATAAATTGGAAGTAAGAGCCAGGGATGAGGTGTGCTATAGGGGAATGGAGAAGAGACTGGACGTGGTTGTCATAGAATCCTTTCATGTCATCTACGTTGTGTCTCATATATTAAATCACATACACACACACATATAACACATGTGTGTTAAATATCTATCATTTCTTTTACAAGAAAAAAATGAAACAAATGTGATAAAATATCAGCCACGGTTATATAAATGTTGTGTTATCCTTCATACTTTTCTTCAGTTTGTTAATTTCTCAAAAGTTGAGACAATTAAAACAAAAAAAAAGAAGAGAAAGATTAGAAAGAAGCATCTGGGAACTGCACGTACTCTCGTCTCCAGAGGAAGTCACTGTGCCCCTGCCCGCCCCACCAGCTGCCCCTTGGGAACCTCTTCAGAGACCCCGAGGGGAAGCAGGCACCTTTACCTTCTCCTGGTAGAGTTTATGAAGCCACTGAGCCGCTTCTTTTTCCTCCTGCGGGATGTCTTCCAGGGGAAACCTCCTGTTTAATTGAGAAGATTGAAAGCAAAGTAAATGACTAGAGAAATCAAGCTGACCGGGGAAAGTCAGTCATTGAGCCTCGGGGCTGTTGCTGGCTGGCCTTTTCCATTCCAGTCTCACTCTTGATTTCGAAAATACACAAGCATCAGAGCAGCTCCCGGGCTCCGCCTGAGTGCCGTGGAGTCACCCAGCACCCGGTGGCAGAGAGACACGTGCATGCTTGTGCGCAGCGGAAGCATTTCACAGGGATGCATGAGCCGTTTACTCAGCAGACCATGCCCCCACTTCCACTGTGAAGGGTGATCATTCATGAGCCTCTGCAGGAATTTGGATCTCTCCTAATAGTTCATTCTTTGGAAATAATCATGATGGAAAGTGCCTTTCGTTAGGCAAAGAAGATTACCTATTTCACCAATGAAATCCACTTGCCTCACAGATGAAAAGCAATGGAGATTTAGTACTTTAATCTCGATTAACAAACAGCTGACTTCAGTTAGGACACTAATTTATTTATAAACCTAATCACCAGCTGGATTACCAGCCCCAAGAGCGGAGGTGGCTACCTGGTAAGATACACGGGCAAGAACAGCCATCTACGGCAACTGTAGTACCTCAAGACGGCCAGCAGGGGCCACGAGCGCACACTGAGCTGGGACAGTCAGCTGGGACCACGCCATCACTGGGGCCTGGCTGCCCATCTCGGGGCCCACAGTGAGAGAAAAGCCAGGAGAGATCTCCATGGCTGGAGGTAAATCTCCACGTTTTAAGGTGTCTCAATCTTTTTGTCTCCAAGCATTGAGAACGCTGGTTTCTGTGGATTATAGCTATCAATCTTGACCACATCAGCAATGAACACAGAATTTTCACAAGCACACACAAGATCAGATGTGGGAGCGATGCTGTGCCACGTGTCACACAGCCTCTGGGAAACTCCCCTGTGTCTCAAAGGGATTGAGGGAGGCATATAAACTCCTTGTAAACAAAAACAGCTGAACTTTGTTGGCCTGGAAAGGTCTTGGGGACCTCCAGGGGCCCCCAGAAGGATTTGCCACACACATGGACCGTTTCAGTAAGGAAAGGAAGTTCCGAGGGGTTTGTCTGCAGAGAGATGACTGCTGAAAAGTCTCCAACTCACTCGCCTCCTCCCTTGATTCCATACATATATCAGAGATGCACCACATCCAGGGTCTGCTGCATGTCTGTCACACACGGTGTGAAACATGTAAAATTGGAATGAAAAATGAGGAGCAAGAAATAAATACAAATACGAGCCTCCATCTCCTGGAGTGGACTCAGCCACTCTGAGGATGCTGCCCCAAGCACCAGTGAGAAGCAGGAGAGCCCCAGGCCACCATCCCACAGGCCCCTCGGTCGCGGACAGGAGACGGGGCAAACGCCATCGGGCCGTGAGAACCTCGGCTTGTTGGATCACACATCTGTGTGGACTCACTGGAATATTGCTTTTACTCAACAACACACGAAACAGCAAGCTGATGCTTTTAGAAGTTCTAAGAATATATCTACTAAAATGAGATTAGGTAAAACACAGCCCCACACTTTCTGCCCCAAAGGGCGAGATGAGATTAAAGTGCGGGTCCTCTCTCGCTGGAGCTGAGAGTCCACGCCGAGGCGCGGGTGGGGCTGCCGTGAGCACGTCTGGCCCGGCAATTTCCCCAGAGGAATGAACACGAAATTGGAAAAAAATGAGCACCTGGCTTGGCACTTTCTCTTCTTGGTGCTCCGCCAGAGTGGCCCTCAGACACAGCCTGCCTGCCCGGCAGGGCCGGAGGAGACTCTCCACCCTGGGGAGCATTTCAGACAGGCCTCCCGGAAGCCGGAGGGGCCACCTGCCCCCGTCTCATGGCGAATCCCATTCAGAAACTTGGTTCTCTGATCCCTCTACCTGCCCACCCCATCCCTGCCTCGAGCCTCCTGCTCTGCATACAGTAGGCACTCAATAAATGCTCACTGCACAAATTAACGGCAATTGTTTCTGATAATCTGAGGATGTTTTAAGGGCTCCACAGGGCCCTACCTCAGATTGAGTTTCACTTCTTGGGGATTCTGGGAGTCTGTAAGCTGGCTGAGCCGCTGTTCATTAACCAGCTTCACCTCTCCTTCCGGCAGGACTGACTCTGGCAAAGGGGTTGAGGCTGGCTGGGTACACCCTGCTGGTAGACCCATGTTCACCAGGAGCTGGAGGCAGAGTGGGACTGAGGTCAGCCCGTGGCCCTGACCTTACCTTCCCTCCCGGGCGGTCTGTGTGTGCCCTGGGTCTACCTGGCTGCACACCACAAACGGCACCACGTGGGCATCCCCCTTGGGCTGGGACAGCTTGTCCTTCTCCTGCCTGTGGAAACCCTGGTCACTGTGCAAGTTTTAGGTCAGATGCCTCTTTCAGAAAGCCTCTGTGCTCCCTCCAGTGGGAGGGGTCACTCCTCCCTGGAGCATCCGGAACATTCTGCCTTCACCCCCGGCCCCACTCATTCACTTTGTGTGACCGTTAGAAATATCTGTCCCCAAGTCTGCACCACCTCCATGTGGGGGCAGCCAGGGGCGTGGGACCAGCCTGTGTGTCAAGGGCTGACAGCAAGCCAGCTCCCGAGGCCTCCGTCCTGGAGCTGGGAAGCCTTGGGGAGAGGGCGGCCAGGTCAGGCCCAACATGCCCCCATGGCCCCATGTGGCCCCCCATGGCCCCTGTGGGCAGCTCTCGGAGCTCACCTCACACACATGTCCGCCTCGTACTTCTTCCCGTAGAGGATGCCCAGCAAAGATGGGTTCTTGTTTCCTCGGAAATTCAGCGTGACGTCGTAGACAGCGGCGACTGTGGGGGAGAGGTGCAGAGGGTGACACAGCCACGTGGACAGGCCCTCCCCTGCACCCTGGGGCAGGCCCCGGCTAGGCCTTATACACAGGCGACGTCTTCCTTTGCCAGTTCTCCTCCTTTGGCTGCGCCTTCAGCTGACCCCGCCCACTGCGCTCACTGACCCTCCGTGGACATCTCCCGCCTGGCCGATTTCCGTGTCCTGTCTGGCCTTTGTCTTTATCTCGCCTCCTTTTGGCTTAATTAGATATATTTTTTTTCCCCTTAGAAGGTTTTCAGTTATATACTTCATCATTATTACAGCTATTTGCCATTAAGCAGCATTTTATCGCCTCAAAAATGATACCTGGCTCTTGTAACACATTAACTCACTTACTGATTCTCCCTGTTATGCTACCGTGTCCTGTGTTTTACGTGTAGTTCACCTGTGCAGTTTGGACAGATCCCTGTTTTCATTTCTTGAGGGCCCCGAGAGCAGGGCTCCCGGCCGGGCGGGGCAGCTCCTACCTGTCCCGCGGAGGCACTGGACCGCGGTGGTGAAGCCCTTGGTGCGCGGCAGCAGGTGGTACTTGAGGGCGGGCAGCCCCTTGGAGGCGGCCACCTCCATGCTGACGCGGTGCTTCTTCTCGGTGAAGCGCGTGCCCTCGCAGTACAGGAGGAACTGGGGCGGAGCGGGGGTCAGGGTCACTCGGGGCGGCCGGTCGGGGACGGGCCCTGCTGGGCTCGAACCTCCCCCCACCTGCCGCCTCCACCGTAGCTACGCGTTTGCCACTGAGTCGGTGACAGGTCCCTCGAGTGATGGCCCAGCATGGGGCACACCGCAGTGTGGAACGCTGTTTCACTTTCGGGCCGCGACCCGCACTACAGCCACACGAGGTCCCTCACAGGACAGCCCACAGCGTTTCACTTCTCCCCAAAGGGTGCAAAAGAGCTCTTTCCAGAGAGAAGTGAATGGGAAGGCGTGCCGGGCAGCAGCTGTCTGACCAGCGAGAGGAACTGTAAACTCTGTTACCCGCTCGCCGCGACAGGCGACAGGCGAGCTGGAAGCGCTTGCCTCGCAGAGCTACTGCCAGAGACCAGAGGAGGGTGGAGAGAGAAATGATGCTCACAGCAAGGGCAGTGACGCTTCCAGATGGCTGCCCCGTCAACCCGCCCACGGGGCTCGGAGACGCCATCAGAGGGGGTGCTCGCAGCGCAGGGTCAGTCCACGTGTGCTGAGGGAGAAGCTTCCCCCGCACTGGGGCTGCTTCTGACCCCCGCCTCTAGCCCAGACCTCCCTTAGAGGAGCCCCAGCCTGGGACTGGGCGGGGCGCCGGGCAGACCCCCAGAGCGGCCGAGCCATGCTCCTTTGCGCAGGCCGGGGTGCCGGGGGTGTAGGGAGGGCCCCTCAGCAGGGCGCTGGCTCCCAGGGGAGACAGGTGGGAGCACATGGCCCAAGATGGGCTCCCCAGCCTCCAAGCCCGGGGTGGTGGGCGGGCCCTGCTGTGAACCAGCATCCCCTGTGCTCAGGGGTTCTTGTTGGCTTTATAACCAGTAACTCAATTATTATTAAACTGTAGTCATGACAACTAAAGTCAACCAAGCTCAGCGCATGGACTTCAGTCCCAGCCGCTCCGTCCGGGCACTCACCCACATGTACTCGGGGTAGTCAGACAGGCGCTTCAGCCCCTCGATGACGGTGTCCCGGTCCTCCTCCCACTTCCGCTTGCAGAACACGATCTCCAGAAAGTACCACGTCCAGCCGATGAGGGGCACGTACAGCAGCTCCCTCTTGGCCAGGACTTTGGAACTCTGCAGCGGAGGGAGAGCAGCAGCGTCCCTCAGACTGCCCCCCAGGACTGGAATGGTGCTGGGTGACGTCACAGTCCCCAGGGACGCCCTGACTCTGAGTGTGGCACCGCAGGGACCAGCACGACCCCGAGAGCGCAGGGGCGCTGTCCTACAGCTGAGGTAGCCCAGGCACAGCCCTGGTGGGCAGCGGGCAGTCCTGGTGGGAGGGAGGGGGCCCAGGACACGGCCGGCCTGGACTCTGAGGACCACTCTGGCCACCAGGCCTGGGCCTTCCTAAAGATGGCTTGGGGCCGCCATTGACAGGCTTTCACGGCAGGGGACACCTCGGCTAACTCAGTGGGGTCGTTCACATTTCACAGGAGGCAGCTTAGCTAAGTGAGGGAGCCCTGGGGGGACTCACGGAGACATGAGTGAGGGTTTATGGGGGGAGATGCAGCATAAGCCCCGGGGCCCCCTTGGTCAGGTGTGTGCTCCACTCCTAGCTAAGAGGGACCAGGGGCTAGGACTGGAGGGAAGAAAAACCCAGAGCTGTGGAGACTCCAGACCCCAGGGAGCCATGCCAGCCCCTGGGACCCCCATGTCACTCACCCCCACACCCTCCCGGCACCCCCACATCGCTCACCCCCATACCCTCCCGACACCCCCTCCTTGCTCACCCCCACACCCTCCCAGGACCCCCTCCTTGCTCACCCCCACACCCTCCCGGCACCCCCACATCGCTCACCCCCATACCCTCCCGACATAGAATGTACGTGCCCCCTCCTTGCTCACCCCCATACCCTCCCGGCTTGCCCACACCCTCCCGGCACCCCCTCCTTGCTCACCCCCAGGACGCCAAACCGCTCACACATGGTCCACCCACAGAGGAAGTCGATTTCGAAGTTGTGATTGAGGATGATGACCACGTGCTCCTTCCCGAAGCGGTCCATGGTGGCCTGGTCGGTGAATAGGGTGCACTCCGTGCAGGACCACCACTCCAGAAGCATGACCAGCTCTGCAGACACACGGCGGGTTGTCAGTGAGGGGCAGGCCCCCTCCCTGCAGGAAGGCCAGGCCCAGCCGGGCTCCCTGATGCTGAGGGGAGACCCAGGGCAGGGTATTTCTATGGCATTTTCAGTCAGAGTGGGATTTTCTGTTAGAAATGAGTTTTGATGGTTTATGTTTAATAAAATAAGTTTTCCAAAATTATAGTTCCCTTCTCTAAGCAAAAGTCAAGGGAGAAGGCAAATGAAACTTTCAGAACGCTGCGAGAGGCGCAGGGAGAGGGAGGAAAGCCATCACTACAGAGGGACCCCACGTCTTTATGCCCATCATGTGCTCCGGCTTGACGGGCTGGCACATCTTCATCCACAGGATGAAGGGGGGTGGTGCGTGCACATAGCCAGCCCCGAGACCCCTGTGGCCGGCAGCCCTGGCTGTGCTGGAGCCACTGCTGGTGGCATCACGCCAGCCATAGTCAGGCATCCAAGAAGGGTGACCTCACAGACCAGCCAGAAGCGTGGCTTTTGGGCTCAGGATCGCCACAGCGCAGCCCTGTTCTTTGTGTGCTGGACTCCTGGGGGGACTAGCCCTTGGGGACGGAGGCCAGGGAGTGCTGACGAGACAGGCCAGGGCTTCGGGAGTGGGCTCTGAGCCTGACTATCTGGGCCTCAGTTTCCCATTTATAAAAACGGGATAATAGTGGCTTCCCGATAGGAGACATAAGATACGGCACGTGACACTGACATCCAAGAACCAGAGGACCGAGGCTGGTTTCCCCTTCCTGACCAACGTCCCATCAGCCTAGGCGGAAGTGGGGGATGCACAAGCTCTGCCCCCAACATGCTGCTGACTACACGGCCTCTGGGGTCCCAGCTCCCTCCTCAACACAAGGCGGGAATCGGACGGGAGGTCTGTCACCCAGGCAACACCTTAACACTCAGGAGCCATGGTCCTTTTTCCCCAAGGGCCAATCAGGGGAGGAGGCAGTGAGGGGTCAGCTCCAAGCACAAGCTCACCATGAGCACCATCGAGGGACCAGAGAGGGCCCTGAGGGGACGCAGGCCAGGTCAACAGAAAAGGCCATTTGTCACGGGGTGAACTCAGCACCTACAAACCTGTCAGCCCTGGCTGCTTCCAGCCAACATTCAGGTGCACTGAGTAAAGGCACAAGGAATGAAGGACAGGTAGATCTGGACAGACAGTTCTCCAAAGCTTACATACAAATGGCCAACAAGCACACGAGAGAATGCTCCACAGTGTTAGTCATCAGGAGGATGCAAGCCAAAACCACAGTGGGGTGCCACGCACAGTCACTAGGACGGCTATCATCGAACAGCCGGACAATGGCGAGTGTTGGCAAGGACAGGAGACGTCGGACCCCACACACTGTGGTTGGGAACGCAAAACGGTGCCGCTGCTTTGGAAAACTGTTCCAGACATGGAGTTACCAGCTGACCCAGCAATTCCACCCCTAGGCATGTGCCCAAGAGAAGGAAAACATGTCCACGCAAAAACCTGTACACAAATGTTCACGGCAGCATTATTCACAATAGTCCAAAGCAGAAATAACCCAAATGTTCATCCACTGACGAATGACTAGACGAACAATGTGTACATACAGTGTAACATCATTCAGCTGCGACCGGAATGTGATTCTGACACACATTACAACAGGGATGAACCTTGAAAACATCACGCTCAGTGAAAGAAGTCAGACACAGAGGACCACATACTGTAGGATTCCAGTTATATGAAGTGTCCAGAACAGGCAAATCCACAGGGACAGGAAGCAGATGAGTGATTGCCAGGGGCTGGGGGAGGCGGGAATGGGGAGTGACTACTAACGGGTACGGGTTTCTTCTTGGGTGAAATGTTCTAAAATTAGATTGTAGTGGTGGTTGCTCAACTCTATGACTATACCAAAGCCACTGGCCTGTGAGCTTTAAATGGGTGAGTTTTCTCTCGGTAAAGCTGTTTAAGGAAAGAAGAGAAGGCCCAGGGTAAGGCGATTTGTGCATCTGAAAGCCCAGCCTGGGGGCCTTTCCACCTCTGTCCAGGAGCCGCAGCCCAGACGACACCCATGCGGCTTGGTGCCTGCTCTGTCCTGCTCCCCCTCTCGAGCCGACTCATTGAATTGACGGCCCTCCAGCAGGGCTTGGCCAAACTCCTACGTGTGAACTGGAAAGAGACTGAGGCTTCTAAAGCGATTTCCTAGGGAGTGGAGAAGCTTTCTCTCATTATTGAAGAACCTTTAACTGGAGACCTGTCCTCCCTCTCAGCGGACAGCCCCTCGAGTGCACAGCACAGTCCTGTTAACTGTCGGCACAGTGTCGTGAGCAGAGCTCTAGACTCTGTTCACACTGTGTAAGTTAACCTTCGCACCCTCCAGCAGCAGCTCCCCGCTTCCCCGCCCCAGCCCCGGCAGCCATCCCCTCTCTGCTCCGAGTTTGCCTGTGTTGGAGTCCCCGTGTGAGTGGAATCACGCAGGATTCTCTCATCATTGGTTTGAGAGGAATCACGTAGCTCAACCTACTGACTTTACAGACACAAGGATGGGGGAGTAGCGCCCTGGAGGAGCCCGAGCCCTTGTCAGCGGCGCAGCGCCCACCCGGGGGAGCGCAGCACAGCCCCCACCCGGCAGGCTGCAGCAGGGGTGGGGAGAGCTCACGCGCGAGCGCTTGGGAACGTGCCCGCCACACGGTGAGTGCTCAGGACATGCAGGCTCTCGGGGCCGCCCTGTGTTACACGGAGGTGGACACACGTGGAAACCCCAGAAGGAAGGAGGAATGGTGCAACTCTAAGAGCACCACCCCCGAGACACTGAATCTTCTAAGAAAATTACTTTCCAAAGCCATTTCTTCCTTTGGGCTTGACATGTGCCTCACTCCCGTTGGCACTTACATCCCTGTCTACACGCCCCTTGTTTCCACGACAGCCTCCCAGAAATAACCTGCAGATCATACGCAGGAAACCGTGACCCAGGCCCAGAGCAGCTGCCTCCTGGCGCATAAATGTGTACCGTCTGCGAGGCTGCGGTGGGTCTTCGTGCTGACCGCTAACAGCTGGAAAGGACACTGGTGATATCAGCCTGCCAGCTTCTGCAGGTGGGCAGAGGGCAACCACCTGAGGCCTGCATTCCACCCCAAGGCGCTGGAAATCCAGGCACACGGTGTCAGAACATAGGGACGCATGCCCATTCCCACCGCATTTAAGGCATCTTCAGGTCGTCACGACTGCCAGGTGGAAGCACAGGTGAGCAACTGGGATGCAGAGAAGACAGACAGACAAGGTAAACGCCCTACAGACATTCCAAGGAGAACAAGCCTGCTCCGTCCTGCACAAAGTCTCTATCGGAGGCTCGCCTGCGGGAAGGTGCAATTTCAAGGCCGCTCTTTTCCATCGGCTATCAGGACACGAAGGGGCCTTCTCAGCTGATTCAGGAGGCCTGGGTCTCTGAAGATCATCACACAGCTGCCAGGGCTGCCGTCTGCACATCCGCTCATGGTCAGGCTGGGAGTGTTCGGAATTAGGAGTTTTGCTGGTTGGCTCCTGGGCTCAGCACTAATTTCTTTTAGCAGTTTCCTTCATTCAAATATATGCTCGCCCTTACACACAATGAGCAAGCATTCTCTGCATGTTTCATCCACTGATTTAAAGAAAATTCAAAATTCACCTAATAATCGTAATCATTTATTGCGCATTGTTGTACACACTCTGCATTCATTTCATCTCGATAGTACAGCTGTGAGATAGGTGATTTCATTTCTGTTTTACAGACAGGGAGTTAAAACCTCGGCCGAGGTCAGCAGGGAGCCACGGCCTGAGCCACAGCATGACGACTCCGTGGGCTGGACGAGAGTCGCACTGGAAACGGGCTCTGGCTGGGCGGCAAGGAGGCCCAGGTGTCATAGGATGAGAACTGGAATGTGCGTTGAAAATAAAACAGTGGCTCATTATTAGTGGTTATTAAAACACTAATGCGGTCCTAGCTCTCACCATACACCCATGGACTCCGGGAAGGCTCCACTCAGCTCTTTTTGAGAAGGACTCCGACTCATGGATTTAAGAAATAAACCCAGGTGGAGAACACCCCCAAATTCAACAGATCCCTTGGGGGAATCCCATGGGCACGTGGGTTCAGTGCACAGGGGACGGCTGGTGCTTCCATAGTGTCTGTGTTCCTTCCAAATATGGGGGGATTTTATATTAATCTTAACTTCTAACCAATGTTCTTATGCTTTTTTCTGCTTTCTCGCCTTTTTTTAAAACCTCAGGCGACGCTCGACAGGCAGTGCGTGCTCCCACCTGGGTCCCTACAACTGTCTTCATCTCCTTCTCCTTTGAAAGGTGACCCTGCTGGATGTGGGGTTCTGGGCTGACGGTCACCTCGCTCAGGGTGGAGGCATTCCTCGTCTCTGGGCTGACTGCTGTGCCCAGTGTGCTGTCCATCTGTCAATCCTCGCAGGTGCCAGCTCTCCCCCCTCATGGTTTAAGATCTCCTCTTTGTCCTGATGGCTTGTGATTTCACCGTGAGGGGTCTGAGCGTGGATTTCTGTTTATTCACCCTGCCTGGGACACATTAGTGTCCTAGAGCTACACAGTCCTGCTTTTCATCAGTTCTCCTCTCTTCCAGCTGCTTCTCCCCCGCCCCCCCACCACCACCCCGGCTCCTCCCGGGACAGGAGGCCGAGGCCTGTTCCGAGTATACACAGACCTTCTCCTCTCCTGACTCCTTCCAGCTCCTGTTTATATCTTCCTCTGTCACTGGCCGTGCTCTGGATGACTTCTTCATACTTAACGTCCAGTTTACCCAGTCTCCCATTAGCTGTGTCTAATCTGATGTAAAATTCGTTCACTAAGGCTCTACTTTAAACAATACAATGATAACTTCCATTTCTGTAAGTTCTATTTGGTTCTTTTTCACCCTGGGTGCCTGGGGCAGTTTTGTCTGAGTCTGCTGTACGTCTGCTGTTCTGTGACCAGGAGCTCCTGCTTCATCATCTTAATCTGTGCGGTGGGCCCTGCCTTTCCCTGGCGGGTGCTGAGCCCACAGGGCACCGCCAGCCCACCCCCCTCCAGCCGCCCCTCGGGAGGCCTGGTTCAGAGTCAGTCCTGCTCCCAGCTGGCCCAGGCACTGTTGATGTTCGATTTCAGCACCTCCTCCTTTGGGTTAAGGGGCTGGGAGGCGGGGCTGAGAGATTTCCTTCACTTACTGGGAACCCAGCAATGCATTAAAAGCTGGTCTCGCCCAGGATTTAGCTGTTTTGTAGTGGTTTTAGCTTCAGAACACTGCTGGAAGCAGAGCCCAGAATTTAGGTTTTGTTAGTTAGTAGGTGCCCTTTTGGTGTGCATTCCCCTTGCCCAGTTATGCTCAGGAATACTCAGTGGTATGTGTTACATGATAGGACTTCTAACTCTCCCTTCCCACAAAAAAGCAGACTTTTATGTAGGAAAAAACCCCTGGGAACTGAAGCTATTACACGTTGAAGGCAGGCGGAAAGGAAGGCCTGGGGCGCTGGTCTCTCCATGGCCGCGGAGAATCCTGTGCAGACGGCTCAGCCAACACCAGCGGCCTCCTCTCACCTGCTCCTGAACTGGGAGGGCTAACGGGGACTCACCATTTCCCACGGGACAGAAAATGTGTATTACCTTCCCTTTATTATAAAGAAATACGTGCTCATGCTTAGAAACATAAGGAGCACAGCAGGAAGAAATAAAGGGCCAAGGTCCCCGCCTTCCTCCACGCCCCGGACATCAGTTTCCTCTTTCATCCTTTCAGGATTTTTCTAGCCACATACGAGTGCACACGCACCAGACGCATGTTGTCTTTAAAAATAAACAAACGGGAGCATACTATGTAGCACACCTTCCTTTTCCACTTAAAAGTGTGTTTTGAAGCTGGCGCTGTCAGTGAAGAGAGAGTGCCCTTGTTTCTTTGTGGCTGCACTGGATTCCACTGTGCAGACAGACCAGTTAGTCCCCCCAATGGCACTGAGGCTGCCGCCAGTCCTGTGCTCACATAAAAATGATAAAATGAGAATACCTGCACAGGTATGTACTTTTGCAGATATCTCTCTAGGTTACATTCTTATTTTGTGGATAATTGGGTCAAAAATTACGACCATGTAGATTGCCGACAGCCCCTGGCAAACTGCCCTTCGTGGGCGTGCCGGGTGCACCCTGACCCACGGTGTGAGCCTCCGCCGCGGCCATCGGCGGGTCTTGTCCTTGAGTCTCTCTCCAGCCGACACTGAAGACTGACTGTACTCACACATGCACGAGTACACGCAGAAAACAGATACGTCTCCACACACACGTTAAACTAAGGGGGTGAGAGTCCTTGTCTTTCAGAGAGAGATACTGAAATATTCACAAGCAAAATGACAGGCCACCTGAGGTTGGCTGCACAATACTAGGGTGTCAGGGTGGCTGGCGTCGAGGTGCAACAAGACTGGCCACATCCTGGCAGCTGCCGGAGCTGGCTGATGGCAAACTGAGTTTATCATTCTCTCTACTTCTGTTTGTTTTCCAGTATCCAAAGTACTACGTTAAACCATATGAAATTGCCAGCTCTGTGTTCTCAATGGTCAAATGGTGGAATGTCATCAAGTTCAACCTGATGAAGAGTTTTGGGTTGAGCGCCTTCCTGCACATCTGCTGGCTGGGGATAAAAAACCTTTGTGTTCCCCCTCAGGCCCTCGATTCCCAGTCTGGGGAAGGAAGCCAGGCCCAACGCCTTACGTCACATCATCGCGAGTGTTCCCCCCCAGGAGCCCCTGCGTGGGACTGCCTTGGGGATCATCTAGCAGCAAGCTCTGCTTTCCCGACCTGCTGCCGGGCCCCCAGCTCCCAGTGTTCGGGGTGGGCAATACTCACGGCTCCAGAGCGAGTAGGCGAGGCGGCAGTTCAGCCGGCGGTACAGCTGCTTGTTCAGGGGCCAGAGGACTAGTGTGCATAGCTGGACGAAGTTGATGACCAGCCCGCTCACCACGAAGACAAACCCGATGAGGAGGTGCACTATGAACTGCGTCTTCAGGTAGGCGAGCAGGCCCATGGTCGCTACTCAGTAGCGAGCGCAAGGTCCTTCACTGAGAACGGCCGTCCTGGAAGGGAGGGGCAGCGGTCAGGAGCTGTGCCAGAGACCCAGGGCCCAGGAGGAGGAGAAACCACGGTCCTCACACAGAGCCCAGATCCACCGCGTCCGAGCGCACGGCTTACCCTCAAGGCACTGGGGATCTCTCCCTTCTCAAAGTAACACAGAGGGCAGACAGGCGAAGTCATTGGTCACGCATCACGCACTCACGCCACGCACACACCACACACACTCACACAGACACACCCATGCACGCCGGAAAGGAAGAAAGGAAAGACTAGAAGAAATGCATCCACGTATTGACAGTGATTATCTCTAGGTAAAGGATGACTGGTAATTTTTATTTTGTGTTTTCAGTATTTTATTTAAAAGATCAAAACTGCATGCGAGATTTCTATAAAAACAGATCCACAAGACTTCAACAAAGCCTTTTAATTCCCAAGCTGTTGTGCACTTTTTTTAAGCTAAAAGGCTTTTGTTTTGGTTCTGACACAAAAGTGGTGACTCCCCCAAGAACGTATCCTGGTTTTCTCCCCTTTTCAACACGCATGTCTTGGTTTCAAAGGTGAAGCCAGAAGCTCACATTTCCTGGCCGTGCTCGTTCTGCGAGCTGCTCTATGCTCCGATGTGGACGGAGACACACGGGGAGCAGTGACTCCAATTCAGGGCTGGCCCGGGTGCCCCGTGCTCTCCGCGGTGGCGGGGGGTGAAGCTGGCTCTGGAGGGTGACAGAGGCTCCCTCATCCTCCAGGGGAGCCCTGCTTCACCCCCTGTGCCAAGCACACCAGGGGCACAGGGACGGCTGCCCACAGCGCCCGTCATCGCCCAGCTTGGACCGAGGCCGGCCTCACCGTCCTCACCATGGCACTGAGCCAACAGGGTGCCTGCCTGTGCCCTCCCTCACCCGCGTGAGTCTGCGGGCAGGCGCCTCCCTCCGCACTGGGACCCACGGCCGCCGGGTCAGCCTTGCGGCCCCTCTGGACGCTCTCAAACCTGCAGGGCATGGACTGTGACTTCTCCCCAAAACTCGGGCCCTTCGCGGCCCAGCCCGGTCTGCAGCTCCTCTTCCTCCCCGCGGCTGCTTGCTGCGGTTTGAAAACGCGTCTGCAGACGCTTCCGCTGCTGCCTTCAGAGGGCAGAGCCGGACGCTGCCCTTTCTGAGTGTGGGCTGGACGCGGATCCACTCCAACAAACCGGCCATGCAGGATAGGAGGCCACGTGACTTCCGAGGCCCAGCTGTGCGAGGGGCGGCTCGCCCGGCTCTGGGTCCCTGGGTGGCTGGCTCTGGGGGAGGCCGGCTGCCGCGTCAGGAAGACACTAGAGCAGCGGGCCCTGAATGTGGAAGGAGCTGAGTCATCGCACCAGGCGAGGGAGCCCCCGTGGAAGCTGACCCCCAGGGCCACGCCGAGCCTTCAGACTCTGCAGCCCTATGAGGGACCCTGGCCCGCCCAGCCAGTCATGTCTGAAGTACTGACCCCGAGAAACTGTGAGGGGGATGGGTGTGTAGTGTGGCCTTGTCACTCTGTGCTGGGCCATTTGTTACACAGCAGCAGAAAACTAGCTCACTGCTCCAGCGGGTAAAGGTAACTAACACAACGGGGCCGTAAGGATGCTTCTTCGATGCGGAACTGGGGTCCAGCACAAACACTTTCCACGTACTGTCTCTTGAACTCACACAAACCCCGGTGAGTGGACATTATCATTGCCCCATTTGAGGTGAGCAAACGGAAGCACAGAAAGGTTAAGAGACTTGCTCAGGGTCACACAGTGAGCACCAGCAGAGCAGGATTCTGATCCAGGCAGTGAGATCTGAGCCCTCGCTCCCTCCTGGGGCCCTCTATGGGTGGGGTGCCCTCTGTAAGGCAGAGTCTCAGGCCAGCCCTTAGGTGGCACTTTTTCTGGCACTAGAAATAATGGCTTCAACCAGACTTGGCATTGCCACCCATCACCTGGCACCCAGCCTGGCACCCAGCTGGCTCTCTGCACCCCACAGCCCCTGGAGACAGCCCCTGGAGACCGGCTCTACCCCCACCGCCAACATCCTGGGTCGGGGCACATGCTTTGCCACATGGGCCAGAATAACCAGAATCCCCAGAAGCCAGCCCGCAGACGGGCACATCAGCTGTGATGCTGTCAAAAGCACATCCCCAGCTTCCACGCCAGGCCTGCTGACTCCATCACTTGGGCATAAAGTACAAGAACCTGATTTTAAAAGCGACTTCCTGGAGGTCTAACTCACACAGCTCAGATGCACTCAGCGAGCACCCGCGCAAGTCTGTGTGGACACGGGCACCATCCTCGGGGTTGTGCAGTGGCCTGTCCCTGGTCTGTCCCATGACCTGGTCTAGTCCATCCACAGAACCCCAGAGAGCCACCCCTGCTCTTGGGACAAGTTTCTCGCAGCCCGACTGCCACCCACTGCAGGATAGGCCAGCCGCTCACCTTCCAGGCCCCGAGATCACCAGGACATGGCTCTTCTCCCGGGTCAGAGAAGTGGTTGGTGTCGTCTGAGGCCCTGGGGGTGCCGGGGGCTCACCCAGGTTTTCTTTCCCATTTAATCAAGGTGATGGGAAAAGGGGAAGAGTTGGGTGCCTGGCCTCTTCTCAAGGGAACCCCTGATGACACCCAGTCTTCACGTGTCAGACGCACAAACCATCCTATCCCCTTCGCTGGTGCCTTTCGTTCATGCTCAGATGCTGCCGCTGGGACGCGAGGACCCTGAGCCTGTTCTCAGTCCCTTCAGTAGACAGCAGGCGGACTGTCAGACCTCCTGCACAGCCTGGTTCTGAGGGTGAGGCGGCTGCCTCCTGGGTTCTGCGACCCCGTACAAGCCACCAGGACCCCACCTTCTGAGGGCAGGGGACGAGCTGCACTCACCCGCCCCAAAGGGGAGACATGGGTGGTATTGTCCCCTCGGCACAAAAGGGACAGAACGGACTGCTGACCAGCTGGAGAGGCGGCATGGGCCAGTGGCTCAGCAAGGCTCTGCGGAACATGGCTCCATGGCCAGCACGCCTTAAAGAGAAGTGACACGATGCTCGGCTCTAAATTCATCCTCAGGGGACAGACACAACTCCGGGCCCTCTGGGGCGGCTGGCCAGAGTTCTGAGGGGCAGGAGGGGCTGGGAACGCCAACCAACCCTCCTCCCAGCTCCAGCCCCCGAGAAGGGGGTGCTTGGCAGTTCTGACACTTCCCTCCAGGCGCTCTTGCTGCTGGTTCTGAGCCTGTGGTTCCCGTGGCCAAGCTGCTGGAGGCTCAGGGCTGGCGTGGAGGGAAGAGCCGGGAGCCTGGAGACCGTGGACCAGCCCCCACCATCTCGCGAGGGCCTGGCCCCGCCGGCTGGGCACTGCCCTGGCCACTCTCAGACCCAACGCTGGCACTTCTTAAGGGTAAATTGTGTCCCCCCAAAAAGATATGTTGGGGTCCCAACCCCCAGTACCTCAGAATGTGGCTGTACTTGGAAATACGGTCTTTACAAAGGTAATGAAGTTAAATGCGGTCATTAGGGTGGGCCCTAATCCGACATGACCCATATCCTTAAGAAGAGGCGATCAGGACACAGACGCGCACAGAGGGACGATTGTGGGAGGACACGGTGAGAAGACGGCGCCTACGAGCTGATCCTCCCTCACAGCCCTCGGGGGAACCAGCCCTGCCGACACCTGGATGTCGGACTTCCAGCCTGGAGGCTGTGAGACCACAAATGTCTGTTGGGTGCGTCCCGAGCCTGTGGTGCTTTGTCATGGTAGCCCTAGCGAATGAACACACCTCTCCTGCAAATATTCAGGCCTCTTCGCTCCCAGGTCACGGAATTCTGGACGTGCACAGGACCCTCCCCATGGCCTGCTGTAAACATGGCCCTGCTGCCCAGGTGGCCCACCACCCGCCAGTGAACCCCGGCCCAGCCTCGCTGCGCTCAGGGCAGACACCCAGTCCCCTGCTCCTGCCTCAGTGTCTGTCACCAGGCGCCCCTAGGGTCCTCAAGAACTAGCTAGTCAGCTGGTCTGAGCTTCAGATCTTCTCCAAGGCACCCCCCGTCTTTCCTGAAATCCCCATCTTCTCAACAAAGCCTTTCCACAGAAAGAGAAAGTGAAGCCGAGAGTCCACCATGCTCCACGCTATCCAGAGGGGCGCCCAGCCACCTCCTTTCTTCGCTCTCTGCAGCGTTGACGGATTTCTCTGGGTGTGGAGGACTGCTATTTCATCTACGCACGGGCTCCACGGCAGTCCACCCATCTGTGTGCCTTTCCAGCCTTTGCCAATGGTCTAAATCACACAAGTCGGGGAGCCGCACCCCATCCCAAACTGCACCATCGTCCTAAAGCAACAGCAAGTGCCACCCACAGCGCTGGAGCAGGAGCGGCCCAGCACATGGGCCCCACTTCAGGTGACCCGCTGCCCGGGTTCCTGAAACCCAGGGAGCAGGCACAGCCGTGGAGAACCACCCTGGGACCATCGCCCCTGTGAGCGTGCTCAGAGCCGGGCAGCCTCACCTCGCCCCGTCTGTGTGGACTTTCCAAGAGCAGCTCTAACCTTGAGCAGACGGTGATGGGAAGGAAGGAAGCATTAAATATGCCAAAAGTGCATCACTTCTGATGTTCAGGCTGGGAGGTCTGAATCATAGGATAAAAGGAACTGTTCAGGGCCGGCCCTGTGGTCGAGTGGTTAACTTCACACGCTCTGCTTCGGTGGCCCAGGGTCTCGCCGGTTCAGATCCTGGGTGCGGACATGGCACTGCTCATCAGGCCATGCTGAGGTGGCATCCCACATGCCACAACTAGAAGGACCTACAACTGAAAACATACGAGTATGTACTGGGGGGCTTTGGGGAGAAAAAGTAAAGAAAAAATCTTAAGGAACTTTTCAGGTATATGTGAATTTCAGTGACCCAAATTCAAAGTCCATAATGAAGGAGAACCAAGAAATGGTTGTTACCTTCCCTCTTTCCTTCTTTCTCTCCCTCTGTCCCATCTACCCACCCATCTACCCTTCCTTCCTTCCTTCCATCCATTTACCAATCTACCCATCTGTCCACCCATCCATCCACCCACCTACCCATCCATCCATCTATCTACCTATCCATTCACCTACCCATCTACCCACCTATCCATCCATCCATCTACCTATACATTCACCTACCCACCTACCCATCCACCCACCTATCCATCAACCCACCTACCCATCTACCATCCATCCATCCATCCATCCATCCATCTCTCTACCCACCCACCCACCCATCCACCTGTCCACCATCCCATATTTGAGTGCCTATACGTGCAGTGTGCAGAGCGGACCTGGTCTGCTGCGAGGTGGCTGAATGGAAAGGCCATGACGGCTGACTACACGGTAGGTTGGGAGGGGAGTACACTGGGGTTGAGTCCTAGGTTTTTTGTTTGTGTGTGAATAGTTCTATTGTTTCCAAGTCAGTAAACACGGGAGGAGAAAGTCTATGAACAGGACTGACTATTGGACACAAAGGATAGTAGAGAGATATCATCTCAAATATTTTTAAAGTATCCTAAAATAATTTAGGTGGCAACGTTTACTATTTAGAACACAGCCAAGAACCCGGCATAACCCCCAAGGCCTTCTGAGCCGCCAGCCTAGGTATGGCCAGTAAAGGGAACACACTTTACTCACAGTAGGGCTCCTCAGCTCCGGAGCCGCCCCTCCCGCTCCTGCGTCAAGCACAGTGGGGACCAGCGTGACCGGGGGCTTCCCCGGCCCACAGCCAATCCGAAGCACCAGATGAGAACAGAGGGAAAGGCGGATGCTGGAGGCAGACATCCTGCTGACGGCAGCACACGGGGCGGCGGCAAGCCCGCGACCTGAGACGGCACCACCTCAGAGGGTCCAGTGCTGGGACCAGGTGTACAGACCCTGCGGCCGCTCGATGACATCACTAATGAGAACATAATGCAGCAACTGTCCCCCTAACCCCGCACAGCGCTGAGAGAAGGGGCTGCAGCACACGCCCGGGCCAACGAAGAAGACTGGAAAGCAGGGGAGGCGTTTCCACGAGTCCAACCAGAGTTTCACATTCGACAAACGTAATCCTATTGTTGAGGGTTAAAGGGGCCAACTTCAGTTCTTGGGTAAATTCACTTACAGGGGCCACCTTATCTTTCAGTAAGGCTGAAAAACATGACATTTTTTTTTGCATCTGTTGCCAGTCCCACCTCATCAGCATTTGGAATCACCAAGAGGTCAGGAAACGGAACAGGGAAGTAAAATGATCACTATTTGCAGATGGTAAGTTTGTATCCTATAGACCCAAGAGAACTCACTGCCACCAAAACGCTACTGTAAACCGTGAGAGATCACAGTGATGTTGAGAGGAATAAAATTAATACAGTAGGCAGAAATCAACATTCTACTAATTTCAATAACTAGCTTTAACTGAAGTAATAACAGGCACTAAGACAATGGAGAAGTTTTTTTCTTTCTGACTTACCAGTTCTAGGTCAGCTGCCCCAGGTGGTCATTGGGAGAATGGAACAACCTAGAAAGCCATGCCTGGAAGACGGGGGAGCTCCCAGCACGTGGTCTCAGCTCCCAGGCTGCTGGGAGCTCCGCCACCTGCGGTCATTTGGGCCCCAGCTGCTGGGAGCGCCGCCCCTGTGGTCATTTGGGGCCCAGCTACTGGGAGCTGCTGGGAGCCCCCCGGTCTTTAGTGCACAGCGTCCTAGGTGGCTCCACCGTCCCTCTCCAGCAGGCAGAAAGGGGGAAACGGGAAGTCCAGGACGAGGGATTTCTTTACAGCCAGTGGGGTGCAAGCTCACAGTCCAAGCGCTTAGTGATCAGAAGATGAGGACACACAGCCCCGTCGAGTGTCCAGGCAGCCAGGGGAGTGTAGCCCAGTGGGCATGCTCCACGTGAACATGCAAAACGGAGGACACGGTGGAGGAGAAGACCTCGGCACATTTGCAAGAAAAAGACAAAAGGGCTAGTCACAAACTTCACAAGACATAAAGAAAGCCTGTAAGAGGAAACCTTAGAACATCCTGAAAGATACAAAAGCAGAAGAAATGGAAAAACACTGCGCAACAGGTGGCAACAATCACCCTCCCTGTGCTCACGCCCTCTGCAAAGCTGCGCCCCGGCCCTCCCATCAGGACACAGCCTGGGCCCGGCCCCTGGAACCGGGGCTGGCTTCAGGGCTCACCCCAGATGACTCCCAGCCTGGGCCTTCAGAGGCCATGCAGCTTCCCCCTACCCTCCGGGCCACCAGGTGAGGAAGCCTGGGCCAGCCTGCAGGAAGATGGGCCACACGGGGCGGAAATGGATCCACAGCCCCAGGCAGGCCGCCAGCCGACCGCAGCCACCCAGATGCCCCAGGAGAGACCAGCAGAAGAACACCCTGCTGCGCCCAGCACAGACTGGAGACCCACGGAATTGTGAGCCAATAAAACGGCTTCAAATTGGTTAAATGGCAATAGAATGGTTGTTTTAATTGGCCACATTTTGAGGTGGTTTGTTAGATATTAGTACATAAATGACACCCAGACCATTCTTTCTAAGTTGATTTGTAAATGTAATTGAGTCAATTAAAATCTCAACAGGTCCCCCACCTGTCACCCCCAGATCCAGACAAGCAGATTCTACAGTCCACGTGGAAAAGCAAACAGGAAAGAAAAGGCATGAGAAAGACCCAAGGAATAGCCCTAAAAGACATCACCACATACTACGAAGCCTCGAGAATTTACTGTGTGGTCCTGGCCTCTGAACAGCCTCGCAGACCCATGAAACACACTAGCCAACAGTGTGCGGCTGTGAGAGGCCGTCCAGAGGCCCTGGGCACCTGGAGCAGGTGTGACCTGCAGCTGCGGGCAGGGGACTTGGAGTCCGTGTGCACTGAGCATTGCGGCAGGCCAGACCAACAGCACACCTCGCCCATGTAAGCACTCTCCGCTGTATCTGTATTTAGGCAAGTTTGTATTTCTATTAGTATTTAGACACTGTTACAATAAATAGAATACAGAATTAACTTAAAACCACTACTGGGCTCGTGGGAATCCTTTAGCATTACATAATTTCTCCATTAATGGGTAATGAAGGTGTAAGTAAATGACATCCCCAACCACGCCTCCAGGCCTCGACAGCAGAACTCTGCTTTTGGAGAGTGGGGTCGCCGTGGGTGCCCTCCCGCCACCTGGTTCCTGATGAGAGGGCTCTGCTATTGCAGCTGTGCACGTCCCGGGAAGGGAGTCCCGCCCCAGATCTCAGCCATAAAGGTAACCCCATCTCCATTCGAGCAACTGCTGGGCACGCGGCCCCGTTCCAGGCAGTGGGACATCAGGGAGGAGCCTGCAGGGCCTCGAGGAAGGCGTGTGCTTTCTTAAGACAAGAGAAATCCCTCTAGCACTGCCCCTTCCCTCTCTGCCCTCCTGGAGTTGGGGGCGGAGGGGGGGGGGGGTCTGAAGGTGCAGGAGCCACCTGAGGAGCATGAAGAGACAAGAATGAGGACAAAAGACCCCATGTGGGCAGAAGGTGGCAGGCCCCAGGCCCTCTGAGGCATCAGTGAGCAGCTGAGTCCAAGCCAGCGGCTGTCCCTTCAAGAGGCAGAGAGGACAAGGGTCGCTGCTGCTTAAGGTGCCGTTTCTGTGACTTGCGGTTGAAATGGCCCCTGGTGCACCCCCGTCATTTCTGTGACTATTACTCCCGTGGGTCTGGCATACAAGATCCTGGCACTGGGTCCCAGTTTGCCGAAGGATGCCTCATCTTTGCTATACGTACACACGTGACAAACAGCAGCATGACTTCTTAATCCTGCGCCACTCACAGGTCTTATGAGCTGCCTTGGCAAGAAGTTTCCTGAAAGAACGTGGCAAGAAAGCTTGTATAGCACTTCACCTGACAGTCTCATCTGAGAATTGCAACATCCTGTCAGACATGCAACAGGCCAGTCCAGCTTGCTAGAAGGAGGAAGTGACTTTGGACTCAGGAGAAGGGAGAATGCCGTGTCTCTGGATCTCACTATAGACACGTAGGGGCATCATTCCAGCTAGCAGAGGTCAAACGAATACCTATGGGTGGCCCGGGTTGAAGGGCAGGAGCCATGCACAGCAGGCACCCAACCTGACCGCAGGTTACCAGAGGAGCCACGTGGATTACGGGTCCCTGGGGCCCCAGGCCACCTCCAAAGGAGGTGAGAAGCTCCCAGCCAGGTGCTGTCAGAGAAGGGAGTGTGAACCACAGACAAGGACCAGGACGGCAGAGAGCTGTCACTTCCCCAGTGGTGTCTGCCTCTGGGTCTGTCTCCACCACGGAAACGTGGGCCCCAGCAGGGAGGGGGTGGCTGGGCAGGGAGAGGGCAAGGCCTACGCCAGCCTGTGGACAGTGGGGGCGTGGGGCAGAACCCTAGGGACAGAGGGGGCCACAGTGCCACCAGAGGCAGCTGTGAAGGACCTCCAGGGCAGCTCACACCCCACCTACCCCGATTCCCTGCGTTGCAGAATCTTTTGTCTTTTTGAGGCTGTTCTGATGGTTTCACCGGCTTGAGCAGTGGTGATGTCTGCGGTGGGAGGTGGGAGGCAGGTGAACAGTTCCTAGGCCTGGTGACTGCACAATACACCTGTGACAAGTCCCTGGGCCTGCAGGACACCGCAGGCGCCCCTCACGCCAGGGAGCCTGGCGGTGCCAGAGCAGAAGAGTGCTCTGCAACAGGGGCCCACTGTAGGACCGCGGTCCAAAACGCGCACCTGTGCACATGCACACACATGCACACATGCGTGCACACACACACAAAACAGTCACAGCTAAGTTGACTTGGACATAATCTTGTGACAATGAACTGCCTGCTGTAATAATGACATTTCACTCTTAGAGAAACAGAGGAGTGTTTCTCTATAATCATTTATACTATTTATTCTCTCTCTATATATAATTATATATATTGTTTGCTCTATGATTATTCAATAAATTGGTTGTTAATGCACTTTTCTACAGCTACATTATATTTCACAATTTAAAAAGTTACATAGGAGTTCTGGTTTCCCTTCGGGAATGCAGAGAGCTTGTCACTCCCACTCTCACAACAAGAATAAAGCCAGACACATTGTAGTTCATGACTTCTTTTGGCCCCATCAGAGGTCTGAGGTCACAGGACAACCAACGAACAGGAAATCCGGGCCAGATGGGAGCCTGTGGGGGGTGGGACTGAGCCTCGGTTCCCTGGGGCAGACATGGGATGGGACGCGAGTAAGAGGCACTCAGCTGGAGCAGCAGAGACCCGGGGGAGCCACGCGGCTGGGAGGCTGGGAGGCCCCTGGGTTGTCGGTGGCGGCTCATCTCCTGCAGGTGACCCCATCCATCCTCCCCCGCCAGGCGTTACAGGGATGCGGGCGAGTCCTGAGAGAGCTTCTCCCGTACAAAGCCACCTACAGAGTGCATAGGTATTGAACAGTGTTTCCTATAGTGAGAACACAAACCTTAGAGGAGGAAAAAGGCCATTTACAAGGAAAAAAGCGTTCTCACATTTGCTATTAAAGAGGCATCATGATTCACTCAGAGAACAGATCTTAGAGCCAGCCCTGGTGGCCCAGCTCAGTTCAGTGTGCTCCACTTTGGCAGCCTGGGTTCGGTTCCTGCCTGTCAGCTGCCATGCTGTGGCAGTGGACCACACAGAAGGACGAGAAGGACTTACAACTAGGATATACAACTATGTACTGGGGCTTTCAGGAGGGGAGAAAAAGAGAGAGAAGGGAGATTGGCAACAGATATAGCTCAGGGTGAATCTTACCCAGCAAAGAAGAATAAAAACTAAAAAATAAATTAAATAGATTCTAGAAAAGGCAGGGATTCAAAATGGAATAAACTAAATGGGTTTCAAATACCTATCCTCGGCTCTGTTCAGAGCCCCCACATGTCCTCCTCCTCCCTCATGTCACTTCAAGGGTCCCACAGTGGCCCCCTGATCCCGGCGTGGTCTGGAAAAGGTCAGACTCATCCCCAGATATAGAAGGAGAGCCACCTGTCACTCGGCCGTTTGTCTCACATTTGAACTTCCCAGCTGAATACAAATCCAGAGCATCTCAGATACACAAATATCTGAGGTGAAGTAGAGGATAGTTTCTAAAAACAATCAGAGCTACAAACACAATGTTGAGTAGAAAGTGAACTGCAGACTGTCCTCAGGGAGCCCCAGCGCACCGGGTGAGACAAAGCCCACAGCAGGCTGCCCTGCCCCCTCGGGGGCTCAGGGAGGGGGAGGGGCTTGGGCTCTGGCTGCAACAGGGGGAGAGCTGGCCTGCAGGGTGGGGGAGAAGCAGGGGCCTGAGGTCAGAAACGACTCCCTTTTTGCCTCCCGCTACGATGAGAGCCTCTCTCACTCTGAAATCAGTTTTCCCAGTGAAAATAGGAAACTGCGGTGGATCTGATGAGAGTCTGTAAGCGGTCCCCCACTGCGAGTCCTGACCAGCACCCCACTCCTTCCTCAAAGGGCAGACACGATGACAGACACGTGGAGGGCATGCTGACATTCGTGCTCACTCTGTTTCCTCGAACGTGAATTCACCCCTTTCTCACGCTTCCTCTTTTCTTCTGCTTTCCCCAAATCCCAAAAAGTTTACACCAAAGCCGTTGTGTTCTCCAGTCTATCCCTAACAATGCCACTCCACAGCGGTCAGGATGGCAGCAGGCGTCTGGGGACGGGTCCCCGGGGCTGCGCGATGCCTCAGCCACCTTCCTGAAATGGGCACGTCCTTGGTGGGCAGGAGACCTCCAGATCTCGGAAGAGAACGACCAGAGAATGTGCTGAGACGCTCCCGAGAGAACACCGCTGCAGTTGAGGAATAAGCCTTGCTTTTCATTCTTTCCTAGGGAACCAACCTCTTTCTGTGACCCTTTCATGCAACCCTGCTTACGGAGGACAGGCCAGCAGCTTAGGGAAGACAGCCCCATCAGAGCAGACCTCTTCCCACATCCTTCCCTAAAAACTCAGAGAAAACCCACAGCAACAGGTTGACTGACCTTCTGTCCCGTCCCCGCCCCAGCAAACCTGCAGGGGGATGAGGGGACAGCCAGGGGACACACAGCACCTGCAGGGCAGTGAGGGGACAGCCGGGGGCACACAGCACCTGCAGGGCAGTGAGGGGACAGCCAGGGACCCATAGCACCTGCAGGGCAGTGAGGGGACAGCCGGGGACCCATAGCACCTGCAGAGCAGTGAGGGGACAGCCGGGGACCCATAGCACCTGCAGAGCAGTGAGGGGACAGCCGAGGACCCATAGCACCTGCAGGGCAGTGAGGGGACAGCCAGGGACCTGCAGCACCTGCAGGGCAGTGAGGGGACAGCCGGGGACCTGCAGCACCTGCAGGGCAGTGAGGGGACAGCCGGGGACACACAGCACCTGCAGGGCAGTGAGGGGACAGCCGGGAACACACAGCACCTGCAGGGCAGTGAGGGGACAGCTGGGGGCACACAGCACCTGCAGGGCAGTGAGGGAACAGCTGGGGACACACAGCACCTGCAGGGCAGTGAGGGGACAGCCGGGAGCACACAGCACCTGGAGGGCAGTGAGGGGACAGCCAGGGGCACACAGCACCTGCAGGGCAGTGAGGGGACAGCCGGGGGCACACAGCACCTGCAGGGCAGTGAGGGGACAGCCAGGGGCACACAGCACCTGCAGGGCAGTGAGGGGACAGCCGGGGACACACAGCACCTGCAGGGCAGTGAGGGGACAGCCGGGGGCCCATAGCACCTGCAGGGCAGTGAGGGGACAGCCGGGGACACACAGCACCTGCAGGGCAGTGAGGGGACAGCTAGGGGCCCATAGCACCTGCAGGGCAGTGAGGGGACAGCCGGGGACACACAGCACCTGCAGGGCAGTGAGGGGACAGCTAGGGACCTGCAGCACCTGTAGGGCAGTGAGGGGACAGCCGGGGACCTGCAGCACCTGCATGGCAGTGAGGGGACAGCTGGGGACCTGCAGCACCTGCAGGGCAGTGAGGGGACAGCTGGGGGCACACAGCACCTGCAGGGCAGTGAGGGGACAGCCGGGGACACAGAGCACCTGCAGGGGGCTGGCCCCTTCCCTGGCCTTTTCTCCATCTTTTTCTCTCCTCCACTCAAAAACTCAGGCAACCAGGGCCTGAGCTGGGAGTGACATCGTGGGACTCAGGCGGCAGGACACAGGGACAGGGTGGGAGCAGCCCCAGGCCCACACAGCACACACCTCCTGAGCGTAAAATAGCCACCAGTGGGTGGGCCGCCAGGGCGAGGGGCCTCCCTACACATCTCTGAGAGCAGCTCTTGGGGTGTCCAGTCCCGGGAGTGGGATGGGGACATGCATTCTTCCAGTGGTGGCATGTTAGGGCCTGGGGCACTGCTGTGCTGCAAACACGTTGCTACTTGGCACTGAGGTCGCAGCTGGTCACAGAAGGAAGGAGCGAGACAGGACAATGAACAAATCTGGGGGAGCTCGGGAAATGCCGAGGCCCGGCCCTCCCTCCCCCAGGCGGTGCCGCCAGCCCCCTCCTGATGGCCCTGCCTGTTGACGTAGCCCCATTCACACCCAGAGCCACGAGCCCAGGGGACATCGAGCATGGCGAGAAAGCAGTCACACAGCATGATCACCCACAGCAAGCTTTCCATCTGGTTGTCTCCTCATGATGGACTTAAATAAAACTATCTTCTGACCTTGCTAAAAACATTCTCCCACCTTCACTAAATGTGGCATTAAAACTGGCCCTCTCGCCACGGCATCCCTTTCTACTTCTGGAAATAACTGGCCGAGGTGACCGTGGGACACGAGTGTCCATGTCCCCTTGTAACAGTGTTGCCAAACACAGGCTCTTCTCTCCGGAGGGCCGAGCAACCAGCTTGAGGCTCGACGTCTCTGCCCCCTAAAAACCAACCCCAACAAGCCCTGCACGTCAAACTGGATTAGCAGAGGCCATGGGAGCCCATGGGTTCCAGAAGCTTCCAGGTCGCACTGCAAGCACACGGAATGGCCCCTGGTACAGGCCATCATAACTCTGAAGACGCCTCGAGAGTGCTCAAGCTCCATGAATCACTTTCCTAGGATGGAGCCTTAAAACAGAAGGGCGGGGGCCAGCCTGGCGGCGCAGGGGTTAAGTTCGCACGTTCCGCTTCTCGGTGGCCCGGGGTTCGCTGGTTCGGATCCCAGGTGCGGACATGGCACCGCTTGGCACACCATGCTGTGGTAGGTGTCCCACATATAAAGTAGAGGAAGATGGGCACGGATGTTAGCTCAGGGCCAGGCTTCCTCAGCAAAAAGAGGAAGACTGGTAGTAGTTAGCTGAGGGCTAATCTTCCTCAAAAAAAAAAACAGAAGCGCGGACTCCTGCCGGCGCGGGCTGAACAACACCGGGCAGTGCCGCCCTCGGGACGCCTCCTCTTCCGCAGGGCGAGCTGCACGCCCGCTCCTGTCCTTCAAAAGTCGCGGCCTCAGCCCGGAGTTCAGCGCTAGGGAGCCCTAAGGAAACGAGGAGCCGAGTGGGAAGGTGACTGTCTCCAGACAGTCATGCGTGCTGCGGGTGACACCAAAAGACGGGCGCCACGAGGCGCAAAGCCACCTCGCTGGGTGCTTTTGGCCGTCAGAAATCAAGCGTGACGAGGACTGACGAACATGAAGAATGCGTCCACCACAGTGCGGCTGAAAAGGTGCCTACACCTGCTGTTACGCGACACGCACACACACCCTGGAAAAACCTGAACCAATATGCCGCGGGAGTGTCTCTGGGTCATGAAACAGTAGGAACTTTTGGGGTACCTTTCTATTTTTCATTCAACTGTTTTGGCACAGACTAATTATCACTTATATAATTATAAATGTATTAAAAGCAAAAAGTCATCTTTGAAGTTAAAACTGCTTTAAGGAGTCATTGATAGCAGATAACGATGGAAATATTTCACGGACAACACTGCGTAAGTTAACCGTTTCTGAACCTGGCCCGGCTTAGCAGCACCGCCCCCAGGCCCGTGAGGGGCACCCCGCATGCGCTGCTCTCTGCCAGCGAGTCTGGCGACGTCTGATACCGCCTGCTGCTCCTCTAGGAGCTCACCTTCTGATAAAGCTGCCCTTTCTACTGGGCAAGCATTCCACACCAAGCAACGAGACAACGCTCAGAAGCAACCGCCCTCTTGGGGAAGCCCTCAAGGCCTGTCTGCGGAGGGTGTGAAGGAGGGAGCCAGAAAGAGGATGGCAAAGGCTGCGAGGAACGCAGGACGCTGGGCGTGTTGGCCCCACCACTAGAGAGGTGGCTTATCCATTGCACTAGTTTTAGGGATGTTTCTTAGATTAAATGAAACTAAAAAGTTAGACTAGAACTTGCTGGCTCCACGTGTGTTTTCAATTAAATGGTCAACACAGGGCCCCCCGATTCCAGATATGTGGCGGAACCTGCCCGGAAGTTCAACCATTCCAATCAATCTTCCAACAATAAGACAGCTTTTATCTAAAAAACGCCAACGACTTGGGAATGATTTTGCAACATTTAAATTTTTTCAATTGCTTTTAATTTTTAATTCCTTCTAATTGCATAGACACTCCAAGTCCTCCCCATACACCTCACAGAACTGCTGGAACATTCTAACAGAAGGA